ATTTGAATATTGTAGAATTATGGTAGAGAGAGACAAATTAAAGGGTATACGATTGTTAAATAAAGTTTAGATCCTTCATGTAACATTCCCTTAGTTGATATTTTGTTTTGAATTAATAACTGGTATCCGATCTATTGACCAACTAATCCAGATCGGGTACTGCAGAGGTGAGGGCGACCCTCCCAACCTAGTTTGCTCCATTAACAAACGTCAAGATTTGAACCCCTGACCTTGCTTAAGGGACCTAGTGTCTCATCCGATATTTTTAAAATTGATGTTAAAACGCACATGAAAAATGATCTTTTGACCAATCAAAGAAGATATAAACGACGCAACTGATATACATATCTTAGGAGAAGAACATCAAGAAAACATTTTAATTGATGCTTTATCTTAAATTGTTAACCTTATTGCTTAAGAAGTTATACCAAATCTCTAAGTGCTATTATAGTCTGAATTAGAAAGAAAAAAAAACAAGTATAGATATGGCCACACAAATATGATTCCATCTGCCCAACGATATGATTATGTGTTGGTAGGGGTGTATTCGGTTCGGTTCAGTTCGGTTTTTTATAAAAAATTGAACCGAACCGAAATAAACGGTTTTTCAATATTTAAACCGAAACCGAAATCAAATGGTTAAAAAAAATCAAAAAAATCGAAATCTATTTTTTCGGTTTGGTTTTTTTAACGGTTCGGGTTTTCGGTTCGGTTCGGTTTTTCGGTTTTTCAATGAAAAAATCACTTGAAACTATAATTTTTTTTAAAAAAATTGCCTATTCGGTTTAATATGGAACAAATGGGTTCCATATAGAAAACCCGAACTGAACCGAATCAAAAGAATGGAGACTTTAAACCGAACCGAAAACCGAAGCGTATAATGCCAAACCGAACCGAACTATTTTACTCGATTAGTGTCGGTTTTTTGATTTTCTTAGTTTCGTTGCTCAACCCTATGTGTTGGCCCCAAAAGACTATGACTTAAATACAATTGCACCCTCAATAATGTGTTGAAAAAATAAAGTGGGTGGAAAGAAGGCACTTTCACCCGATTAAGAAGAAAATAAGTGGATTAGTGATAGGATTAGACGCATGGTAGATAAAATCTCATTCACATAAGGGGGGCAAATTGCACTTAATAATCGCCACATTGCACACCACAACCAAATGGGAAACAAATCACACTGGGTGTTGGTCTTAATATAAAAGCATGTACTTTATTAGAGTTATAACAATAGAAACTGAAATCAATATGTGTCAAATTAGTCATCTAGTTTATAAATTTTAGGGTAAACTATGTAGCCCTTTTATTTTTGTCACCGATATTTTAATTTTGTCAATCAGACCACTTAACTATTTAATTATGTTCAATCAGACCGCTTGCCGTTAACAATTGACGGAAATACCGACGTGAATGTTAAAAAATGGCATAATTAAACATTTAGTCCTTAATGTTTATATATTCTATCAATTTGGTCCTAATTTAAATTTAATTTAATAAATTAATCATTCAATCAGGAAGTGACACATGTCAATACATGATTGGAAAGTTTTATTTATGAATTTTGATTTATTTAATTAAATAATTTTTCTATCCAATCATATGGTGACACGTGATTTGAACCTATGTCAAAGGCAACGAAGGAGCAACCAAACACCGAAACAATTGGGCCAAAGGCTCCCAATGGTTTAGAATATGCAACAAATATTATTTGTCCTCTAAAGGTTTGTTAATGATAAAAGAAATAGAATTCGAACCTACATAAATTATAAAATAAAATATCAAATAAATAATTAAACAAATATAATATTTATTTTTTATAATTATTTTTTATATTTTGAATTAAATTTTAAAATTAAGAATTTTTAATTTATTTTTATTGTAAATCTTTCATCAATTACAATTTAATATATTAGATTTGTTTAATTATTTATGTGATAATTTATTTTATTTTATTTTATTTTATTTTAAAATTTATAATTATTTTTATATTTATAATTATTTTTTAAAATATAAAATATATTTTTATTGTAAATCTTTTATCAATTACAATTTAAAATATTAGTTTTGTTTAATTATTTATGTGATATTTTATTTTAAAATTTATAATTATTTATAAATTTTAAAATTTGATTTAAAATATACAAATATTTATAAAAATAAATATTGTATTTGTTTAATTATTTATGTGATATTTTATTTTATAATTTATGTAGGTTATAATTCTATTTCTTTTATTTCTACTTTGTTTTATCATTAACAAACCTTTAGAGAACAAATACTATTTGTTGCATATTTTGAACCATTGGGAGTCTTTGGCCCAGTGGTTCAGACGCTTGGTTGCTCCTTCGTTGCCTTTGACAAAGGTTTGATGTGCTTGGAGTGCGAAGATTACTCCTTTATTTCCACTGCAACCTGATTGGATAAAAAAATCATTTAATTAAATAAATCAAATAAAACTTTTCAATCATGTTTTGACACGTGTCACTTCCTAATTGAATGATTAATTTATTAAATTAAATTTAAATTATGACCAAATTGATAGAATATATAAATATTAAAGACTAAATATTTAATTATGTCATTTTTTTTAACTGTCACGTCGGCATTTCTGTCAATTGTTAAAGGCAAGTAGTCTGATTGAACATAATTAAATAGTTAAGTGTCTAATTGATAAAATTGAAAGATCGGTGGCAAAAGTAAAAGAGATACATAGTTGAGTGGTCAATGTTATAGTTTACCCTAAAATTTTATAAAGATAAAATCATATTATAGTTTATTTTTTTAATTTTATTATCAATAAATTTTTTTATATAAACACGCTTATATAAATAGTTGAAAGTAAAAAAACTTAATATAAATTAAATTTCTAAATTATACCAATTTTCTTATTATGTATTTAAATTTTTTCGATCAATATAAGTGTTTAATATTTTATTAACATTATCATTTTAAGTGTCTTGATTTAAAAAATAGTTATTCTTTATTTAGATCTGTCAACACATCTTTTCGTCCTACTAGGATTCAAACTCCTAAAAATAGGATAGAGTTATACTATTATTTAAACTCCTAAAGATAGGATCCACAAGCATTATAAATAGTCATTGTAACTCACTATTGTAACACATTCGGAGAAGGATATACGAAATACCAAGCAAAAAATTACAAGCAACTCGTAGCCATTTTTCGAAGCATTTATATTTTGAAAGGTAAAGTTCATACCTTCGCATGTTATTTTTTCCTTACCCTTGTTGTGTTTTGATTCGAAAGAAAACTGAGAGAAGTGTTTTTGGCCGATGAACGTGGGCATTTTCGAGATCTATTTTTGTAGTCCCTGAGGCTTGTGTTTTTGAAAAACTATTCGGATTTTTATAAACAGGTCGTGTGGATCCGCGTGTTTTGTTGTTTTTTTTTCTTCGATTGGCTTTTAGTTTTAACCCCTAATTCATTTTTTATTTTAATTTAACCCTTATCATTTATATGTATATATATATATTTAATTATATTTAATTTATTTATTTATTATAATTTTTTTTATTTTTCTTTGCGTTATATTATATTATTTTTCTATTATATATATATATATATATATATTATTATTTTTTATCTATGTTTACTTATTTACTATATTTTTTTACTATATTTTTCTAACGTTATATATATATATATATTATTACTTCATTTTATTTTATATTTATATGATTACTATTTTTTTAGTTAATATTATATGTATATTTATTTTTCATTTATTTATTATTATTATTACTATTTAGTATTTTATTATATTATACATACATTTTTATATTTTTATATATATATTTTATTTTTTATTTTATTTATACTATTTATTTTCATTATGTTTTTAGTTTCTTTGCTCTTATTATTATTATTTTAAAAAAAAACACTTTACATTTTTATTCTTTTTTGTATATATATATTTTTTCTTCATTTATTTTATTTTATTCAATTTCATTTTTTTATATTTGTTTCATCCAATTATTTTATGTTTATTATTATTGGTTTCATTTATTTCCTTGGTTTACTCTTTAGTTTTGTTACTTTCTTTTTATTATTATTATTTTCTTTTAACATCTTATTTTAAAGGGTATTTCCGTAAACTTATTAAGGGTAAGTAATTCGGATCAAATTTTAGCTTTTAATTTAACTTGCAATTTTCTTAATCAAAGACAACTGGAAATTACATAGTATCGAAAGGGTGGTTCAAGGGTGTTAATCCTTCCTTGACCGTAACCGACTCCCGAACCCGACACATCTTTGGAAAGACGCAGATCAGGTAAGAAATAGGGTATCCGATCGGCCCATTTGTTTTAAATAAATGATCAGTGGCGACTCTCAATCTACATTTTTCAAGTCGAAATCCAATTCCGGGGCCTACCCGAAAGACTGTTGCGACAAGATCTCGACACGAGATAATTTCTTATTTATTTTCTTTAAAATTTATTATAAAAATTAAAATAAATAAAATATATTTAAAAATATAATTAATTATATTTTTACAATAATTTATCAAACAAAACTAAATAATTAACCTACAATAATAAAATAGATAACAAACAGAGTTAGTTCAAGTTTAAGTAGTTTAAGCAAAGTTTTGAGTTATAATCTTTGTATATATAAAAAAAATTAACTACAAATACTTATTTATCAAATTAGATATACACGAATCGATCTAAAACGAAATCTTAGAATAAGAACCAACAATGATAATAAAGTAGAGAAACCTGGTAGGGGCGCCAAAGATATTTGAACCGTGTAGAAGGAAAAAGAGCAGCTGCAGTTTCCTGAGGCGGCTCCACACGCAAATAACAACATTCCACGTTTGTACTACTCCTCCACAAGCGAAACATGAACCTTCTATTTTCTCATCTAAAGTAAACCTAACGCGTCCCCTTTTTCAAACCCATACAATTATTATGACTGAGTGACTCCCCACAACGCCATCGTTTTCTGGTACCATACCCTCTTCATATAAATATACCCTCCTCTCTCTCTTTAGCCAATTCCATAACGGTCTTTCTTTCGGAAAAACTAAACCATCATATCAACACTTTTATCTTCGTTTCGTCATGGGGAATTACATTTCCTGCACCTTGGCCACCCCTTTAATCAAGAGCGCAAGAGCGGCGAGAGTAGTCCTTCCCCGCGGTGAAATCCGGCAATTTCGCGGCTCTGTCAAGGCCGCCGAGCTCATGTTGGAGTGTCCCAACTATTTCCTCACCAATTCACAGTCTCTCCACATAGGTAAACGATTTTCAGCCCTAAGTGCCGATGAAGAACTAGAGCTCGGCAACGTTTTCATCATGTTCCCCATGAAGAGACTGAACTCCGTCGTGACGGCGGCCGATGTGGCTCTATTCTTCGTGGCGGCGAAATCTTCGGGCAAGATAATATCGAGCGGAAACATTAACGACGAAGAAAGTTCGACCGAAGGATCGAAATTGAGGTTGGAAGGGGTTGAGGAATTTAAGTACAGGTTATCTGTTTGTAGGTCAAGAAAGCCTTCGTTGGAAACAATCAAAGAAGAGCCAGTTTGCTCAAGGTGATAAAATCAGTCGTCTTGGTCAGTTAATACAACCATCATAACTCCTTTAGAATTAGACTGTTCCTTTTGTTCTTGAGATTTCTTTCTTTTCTTGGGAGAGGATACGGAGCGTTTGGTTTGCATATGTAAAATGATTAAGGTGGTATTTGTTTTTGCAGAGGTAAAAGATCTGCCGTCTACGGATCACATCTGCAGGCATCTATAGTAGAAGAGGTAGACCAAAAGGCTGCTGCAAGAATAAGACTTATTATTTTTTAACGTCTGCAAACTGCTAAAATAAACTGAAATATAAATAAACTGAATTTTTAAACTTAAAAGAGTTTTGCAATATTGAGATTTAAATAATTTTAGTTTTACAATATTGAAATTTAAATAATTCATACAATTACAATAATTTTTTTAGAAAAACAAACACCACCTTATTAATTCTATTATAAGTATCACATAATCACATGTATTATTAGTTTTATAAGTTTTATAGAATAAAATTTATAAATGATCATTAAATTATATGATTTTTAAAATATGCAATTATGTAATACTTTTAATTTTTTTAAATATATATTCATAATTTAGTTTTATAATTATATGATATTTTTAGAAAATATTTTTTATTTTATAAAATTATTTTATGATTTTTTTATTTAATTGTGATTATATTTGAAAATTTTAAAATTTTAAAAACATAACTTATAATTTCTTATATTTTAAAATCTTAATTATCAAACAATGAAATCATTTTTATTAAACAATATGGTTTAAATACTTACATTTTGAATAAAAAATTTAAATATAATTTAAAAATAAAAAATCCAAAAAATACTATATTTAAACTTAAATCAAAATAATTAAAATAAATATAAAATTTTAATAATATATAAAATAATTTATATGATATAAAATTAAATATCTATAATATAATATTAAAAATTAATATTTAATTTATTTAAAAAATTAATATTAAAATTAATATCTATAATATAATATTAAAAAATAATATTTAATTTATTTAAAAAATTAATATTAAAATTAAAATCAAATATAATATAAAAATTAAATATAAAACCTCTTTAAAGAGGTTAGAAGACGTATGCGGACATAAGGTAACGTTTGCACCGTGCAGACCACGCGCAGACGTTAGAAGAGTTTCTGTCTTATAAAAAATAAACGATCTGCGAAGCCCAATATCTACACGTGGTATGTACGACGCAGACATATAAACTTTACAGACCTTACACAGTAAAAACAAAAACTATTTAACTCTTTGTTAGATATTGGGTCAATAATTGTTTCTCCTAAAATTTGAACAGCGTTGAGAGTGTAAACGTGGCAATTGTTGAGCGTTATGCATTTTATTAGGACTTGTTTAATTATGACTTTCTCCGCCTACTTTAGACCTGGAATACAACACTTCCCTAACTCCCTATGTTTTTCCGGTTTAATTATTAATATATAATTAATTCAGATTAATTATTACAAAAGTCATAATTACGGTCAATCCTTTTAATTTGATTTTGTTCATTTACAACTCAATTATTCAAACATATAATATTTAATGAATATAATATCTCGTCCCACTAAATCAATTTAAATATATAAAATTAGAATTTGTATTATTTTCTTAAATTATTGCTTTGACAAAATAAATATATAGATATGAAAAGATAATTAATCTATGGGTAAATAAACATTTTGAGGTAATTTCAAGGTCTAATTTGACATCTAAACCTTTTTTTAATTAGATATTTGAATTTAACTTTAAAGTTCAATTTGATATCCATACTCTTTAAGTCAATTAGATATTTGAACTTGGTTTTCTTTTAATCCAAATTGACACTTACAATTTTGTTTTCAATTTGAATTAACAAGCAAAAGTTAGGTATCAATTTGGAAAAAAAAGCAAAGTTAAGATACTTAATTGAGAAAAAAAATACCAAATAGAACATTAAAGCCGAAACATATATATACCCTCAAATTTTACTTCAGTTATCTTTTAGAATATTTTCTTTATTATTGGTTTTCCCACATGTCCGGCCAAGTTTCAACTCTTCTTCCGGTTGTACCAACAAGCTAAGAATTAATTTTATTTAAGTAAACATGTTTGGTGGATTAGTTAAATTATTTATTTTATTCTCTCGTATTTTTTAAAATTATAATTTTAAATTTTTAAAATTATAATTTTTTTTAGTACTAGTTCTCTTCCCGGATTAGAACTATAATTAAAAATTAGCTGATCCTATTCTTATATGTAATGTGGTGAGGAGGTAGGGTAGTAGGCTGTGACTCCAATGTCAAGTTGAGAACAACTTCCGTAGAAGATCTCCGACAGTCAGAATTATGAATTGTCCACCGTGAGTCTCGATCCTAAAATTAGCTTGCCTATTCTCATATGTAATGTGATGAGGAGATAAGATATTAGGATGCCTCCAATGTCAAGTTAAGAGCAATTTTCGTATAAGACTTCTGGCAGTCAAAATTATGAATTGTCCACCGTGGGACTCGATCCCATGATCACAAGATTAACAGCCTTACACTCTACCAACTGAACTGGACGAACAATTTAGAAGTAGAATTAAGATTTATATATATAAAAACATCCAACCGGAAACCAAAATCGGAAAAACCCAAATCCAACCAATCTCAAAACCCATTTAACATTTGAGTTACCCAATCCAAACTTCGATTTAAACCATCTTGCCCGCCCGATTCCCACGCCACAACTCTCAATTCTCACCGGATTTCTCTTCATCTTGCCGGCGCCGCCGCTATCGTACCCATCCGGTCATCCATTTACACCCATTAATAACCCATCTCGTATTCCCTTTGTTGCCCGCCGCTTCTCAACTCAACAATCCCTTTGCTTGCCGCTGGTTCTAAACAATCCTGTTTCTAAGGTAATGTTCTCTTTATTTCATTTTTTCTTTAATGAATCCTTTTTTTTTATTTGTATATCTTATGTCCTTCTAAAAGAACATTTCCCCTTCGCTTCGATTTGATTGGTTTAGACAAATAATTTCGATATGGTCAGTTATCTATTTGTAATGTCAGATTACATGAAAAAATCAACTGAACCGACTGATTAAAGCGATTGCTCGTCCCTGCTAATTGGTTTATCAAGTTCAATCCGGTGCAACTTTGAGTGTTTTCTTTTATTATTCAATTTATTAATTTATGCAAATTTAATGACCTAGCTTCCTTTTGCTGGCCGCCGGCTTCAATCATTTGCTGCTCCTCTGCTCTGCTTCCGCTCATTACTTCCAACTGCCCTTTGGCCATTGATGTAAGCCAAGGGAAAGACATCAAACTTACATATATACTGTAAGTGCAATAAGTTCCATTGCAATATAGGGGAGTAAAAAATGGTTCTGATAAATTGGTATGGAATTTTAGGTTCAGTGAGTAAATTTCTTTGTTCCTTAGTAATTAAGTTTATTCTAGTAACCAATTGGATAAAGCATCAGTCTTTGAGAATTAAGACTAAAAATTAATAGCCTAGATATGTTTTTAGAGAATAGAAATTAATAGACCAATGGATATATGGAGTTTTGACCCTCTAAATGTAAGAGAAAAACACTGAACTTATCCTTGTTGGAGGCATACTTGTATATGCAATCCCATCTAGAGTTGTACTGAGTACAAACCCCTTATTTACTACATGATGACATAACCTTTCAACTTTAACAATATCATACATGCTAAATCAATTAAAGATACTACCATCACTTTTAGCTTGCGTTTTTCATTATTTTGCACAACAGCCCCAGAACCTTTTGTTTGCTGTTCTTTTGTATCTAATAGTCTTTAACATGAACAATAGCAGCTCTGTTCAGCACTTGAATTGTTATTTATTATTATTTTATGTCAATTCTTTCAGATCCTAAATGTTTTGTTCCTTCTTTTGGTGTCTTCCCCAAACACATTACATTTGAGATGGCTTTTCTTTCGTTCTTCTTTCATTCTTTTTGCCTCAGGATTTTGTTCTATATATTGTATTATTTCTGGTTTTACATTTTTTAGGTTTTTGTTTCGGAATTGCAGTATTCAGGAAGTTTCCTTTTTTTCCTTCTCTCAGTAGCTACTAGCCATTCCCTCTAAATCCATCTTTTTTTCTCCTTGTCATTATCAGCTTCTGCTTCACTTTCTTTGCAACAAACTTTTCCGTTCTTATTGCCTTAGATGGAAAGTGATAATCTTGCATACATGGAACTTGCAATTCACCAGGTAATCTCGATCCTTCATTTTCTCCCTTTCTGTAATCCAATTTCTGCAATGTTGCAAAGTGATCCCATATTTTTTCAGGCAAAACTTGCCATGGAAATCCTTGAAGTGCCTGTTGGGTAAGTATTAATCTCATAAAAAAAAATCTCCCTTAGCCTACTTTTTCCACCTGTTGGATAAAATTTGAGTTTAGTTTCTGTATATTATTCAGTGATTGCAATAAGTTCTATCTGTTGGATCAATTTTTTTCTCCCTTAGCCTACTTACATATAAAATTAAATGACACGGTGGTTTGAACATTAAAAAGAACAAGTTATAAACTTAAGTCGAAAAGAAAACATCATTGTCAAGTGCATAAATTTTGTCTCACCAGATCTGTGAATCGGCAAAATACCAAGTGCTCAGTTTTTGTTGGTTGCACTTTGTCATAGACTCATAGATTAAGTTCTTCATTGTTACGGTTATTAAAGCATAAGCAATTGTTAATACCCATGTAATAATTGAGTACCAAGTTTCAGACCATGTTGCAAACCCTCTATTACTACTCTCAGATTTCAAGCTGCTGTAAACTTTATCAGATATCAGTTAACTTCTATAGTTCTCCGTTATCTTTGTTTCTGGTTTAGTTTTGAAACTAAATTGGCTTTTTTGCTCAACATGATGACTCAGTCCTAATACAAAATTTAAATGCATTTTTTCACCTACTTCTTATTGACCAGCTGTTTATTCATTAAGGATGGGAATGTCATTGCATCGGGTAGAAATCGAACCACTGAGACACGAAATGTAAATAAATCTCCTACCCCTTTTATGATCAGTTGGATGTTTCCATGTTTTGCATCCTTGATCTCTCTTGTTGCATGCTGGTTGCACAAATCTATATGAAGGTATTTAGTACTTAAAAAAATGTCTCTTGTGTGCATACATGTTTATGAGAAACATTTATGCTTGTTTGTGCATCATTTTGGTCTTCATATGCTTCTCATCCTATTGTAATAGTGATCTGTTTGGTTGTTGCAAGTGACTAACTTATTAATTCG